CTCTCTCTCTCTCTCTCTCTCTCTCTCTCTCTCTCTCTCTCTCTCTCATGTGTATTTTTTTAATTCATCGTTCTTTTGTGTTCATTTCTTCACGCCCAAGACCTGAGAGCGAGTAGCTTATGGCATTTGTGGTAATATATTAGCATGTATCGCTTTATTCTTTCATTCATACGCACCAACCTATAAGTTACGACGGCACCAGAAAATTCTTTATATTATTTGCGTATAAGAATTGAGCAGCCGACGAAGAAGAAAAAATCGTTGCAAAACAATTACATTTATTGTTGGCTCGAAATGAATACAGCGCGAAAAAAAAAGAAGAAAGAAATCACTATTGATAGCAGAACAAAGGAGAATGTAATAAACACGGCGAAAAAAGAACAATGCAAAGAATGGTTTAAGCAATATGTAGATTAAATGCGTGTCCAATGCTTAGTGTATTGAGTTCGATTATAATAAATAGGAATTTGCTGGTCTTGTTTTTCTTATTCCCCCATTTTACCGATTCTCCGAAGAGAAATGAAACGAAACGAGCGAGAAAAAAAAAATCACAAAACTAAACGAATCATCAACACATACTCTTTTTTTTGTATTTCTCCTGGTGCGTTTTGCTTTGATATCGTCCATTCTAGGGGCTTCTGACCATTCGTAAATATTTGGAAACTACGTTTTATTAATTCAATGAATATTTAATGAATAAATATTGCATTCGCACGAATCTACGTTAAATTTGAAACATTTACTCATATTCATTCGTGAGGTTTTTCATTCAAATCTAATACAATCGTGTATGTGCAGTAGAACTTCCAAATGTGCAATAAAATCTAGTACTACATTGAGTAGAATAGAGTGTCAGAAATAAAAAATGACTGCAATGTTAAAACTTAGTTAATCGGTATACTTGCCGTCCGAATTTCTTCATTTATCTCAGAAATGGATGGTTTTTTCGCTTGAAAATCGCCCATGGGGTCGCCACCTCACATGAAATTTCCCGCCCGATCGATTGAGACTAGTCTGAATTTTCTCCGATTTCCCGATTTTCCACAGTAGCACTTTTCCTCTGAGTATATATTGAGGGAAGAAATTCGAATAAAAATGAATATTTTGGTTAGCCCTGCACGTTATCGTTTTGATTGAAATTTGTAAAAATATTCATAACATTTACAGCATTTGTAATAACATTCAGAACATATGCAATATTAGTGTAAAATTCCGAAATTTGAGTGAACATTTAGATATTCATTCGAGTGAATTTTTTGTCATTTTCCCCTAGCGTCCATTGTGTTGAACCGAATGGACGCAAACACTTGTGCCAAATCCCATTTCAACCTTTCGGGCCACGTGATTTATTAAAACGCAATACAATGTCGGGTTGACGCCGATGCTCTGCGATGTGAGTGTATTTCTCAATTTTCGGGCTGTTTGGGGAAATGTTTGCATCAAACATCTCCGTTGTTTGCCACAATGCGAGCGAGTGTGAATATTCGGTAAATTTATGTGCAAGCACTTAAATTAGCGGCACATTTCAAACGAAACAGTCAAACATATATCTCGATTCATGAACACAAAAGGCACCGAAACCGAATTGAACAACAAATTATTGATTTTAATTTAAAACACATTTTTGGCCAGAAACAATTCTGAGGTCTTTCTTAGAAGAGCGTGCTGTTTGCCAAATTATATGGAAATGAATTTCAGTACCATTTGAAGCTTTTACAATTTTTGTAACTTGGATATGTTTGCGATTTGCCCGAATCTGTGTTGGAAATGCTCGCTCTGACAGATGTAATTCGATTGGCAAATGATTTGCAATGGAATTAGCCGCGTGGTAGTAATTGGAAAAAACTACCGAGCAAATTTCCAAAGATCATCCATGGTTTAATGTGTATGATGGATCATACAAAAATGTTAGATGATGAAATTTTCAAAATGCTCAACTTTTTGACCTTTTTTTTTAATTCGCCAGTTACCGTGTGAATTTGTTGTTGAAAAGATGCTTCCCTTATGTACGAAATAGTACAGTTTTTTCCTCTTTCTCTCTCTCTCTCTCTCTCTCTCTCTCTCTCTCTGTCTGCCTCTCGTCGATTCCGTTGAGCAAACTGAAACGCATCCAAACGATATAACCGATTCAATTACACTTCCGTCTCCATTCCGACTCATCAATCCATCAATCACCACTTTATTACACGCAGCTTTTGATGTATGAAGCCTGTAAGTCTCTTCGTACTTCATGCGAAGCAAGAAATAACAGCAACAACAACAACAACAACAAAAAACGAAGGAAAATCTGAGCAAAATCGAAGCGCAAAAAGCGCAGCAAAGAATAAAAGGCAATAAGCGAGTGATGAGAGAACTCTTATTTGCTTCTCTCTCGAATGCGTGAGCGCGCGCGCGACCGCAAATCAAGAAATCATCCACGGCCACGATGAAAATGAACGATGTGAAAACTGAAAATTGTGTAATTTGAATTGATGTGTTTATAATAACCAGAAATAATATAGTTTTAAATACGGTATTAAGCGAAAATGAAATACATTGGGTCTTTTTGGTGTGCGGGATTTCTGATTGGGATTTCGAATAAAAATCGAAATTGTGGTTCAAAGAAGAACAAGCATAAAGAAGTTGGTGAAAAAAAAAAAAAAGAGAAAGAAATGAATCGGTCATTGCTTTCGAGTGTAAGGTCGTATATTACTGGTTCTTATTTTCTTCGGCTTGTAATAATACTATGGCTGCAATGAACTGAATTTAATTTATTACACTTACACACGCGTACGCAAAAAAATAAGGTGCAGAAGTGTTCAAGTGGATTTGAAGTGGTCCAATTTCGGGCTGGTGAATAATCATAATAATTCGTTGGCTCAAAATTTATTTTGGCAGTAAATAACGTTTGATGGGCTAATCTTCATCGAATTACCGACAAACGCTTATACAAATTCATAGTGATGCTCATTTTAAACTCCAACTTTCTTCCTCATCTCTCGTTGAGACAGACCTTGAATTATTACGGCTAGCTCGATTTTCTTTTCTTCGCATTCAACAGAAATATTTCTTTGCCGTTGCGCATAATCACGCGTCCACTTCCACTGTAAATTTATTGAGAGTGATAGAGGAAGAAAGAGGGGAATTTATTGAAACGAAACTATATTTGAAATCGGTTGAAAATTGTGTAGAAACAACAATTGTAATATATAAATTATCGCCCGCCGCTACTTCTTATCAGCATATCGCAAATGAGGCAAATTACTACGTATGTAACACCAACAGTGCTCTGTGTCTCGATATTAGGAAAATAATGCAGTCTCGAAGCAGACGAGCTATACATGTTCAGTTGTAATGCTAATAACACTATCCGTCAGTCGTGGTGCCACATATACACCCATTCGCAAATTACACTGCATTTGATGATAAATGAATCGTAACACAAGCGATTCTGGTCTCTTTTTTTTTCCTTCGAATAAAATATTTCGAGTTCGTTCCGGATGTGATATATCCGCTATTTCATTCAATGCGTCTTACCTCTCTCTCTCTCTCTCTCTCTCTCTCTCTCTCTCTCTCTCTCACTTGCTCTCCCGGTCGTCTCATCTTCTTCCCAGTTCAAAATTCGAATTTATTCTCGAATTATTATGATATTATGAATATATGGAAGAATAATGGAACGAAAGAAAAATAAAACTGAAATTTGTGTGATAAGATTTGCGTAGGAAGGCGCGAGCAAAACCTTATTCTCTCGGTTCATTCATTTTGCCCGTCGCTCGAATACAAACATTTCACGTTCGCCTCTATATGTGTATTTAAAATTGAAAGGCTTTTATTTGCGCTTAACGCATAAAAAATCCCAAATGCAGCCTCAAGCTTTTATCATTTGCCGTTAATTCCACGAACAGCGCAGCGCGCTCGCGCACAACAAATTAGACAGAGCGAAGCATGCACGATATGTACTTGCTCTGTTCGAGTAAAGTTCCATTTTATTTCAAGCGTCCACATTTATATTCGTAATCACAGCAAAAGGAAATCTATGGACTGCGAGAGTGAAGAGAAAGAGAGAGAGAGAGAAAAAAGGGTTCCGCAGCGTACGGGAATTTAGTCAGCTTACATCATTTCCTTCACTGCTAATGAAGAAAAAAAAAAGAATACCAGTAAAACTTTTAATTATGTCTAGAAGCGATTCCAGATCTATTTACTTTACGTGCGCATTTATTTTATTTTTTTCGTCATCGTCGTCGTCATGCATTTTTGTCCTCTTTCAGGACACAAACACTGAAATATACCAATATTAAAGGCAATCATGATATTCACAAACCAACGCGAATGAATCATTTTCTGTTTTTTTGTTTTTATTCTCGTTCTCTTTCTTTTTTGTGAGGCCCGTCGCTCGTTCGACTCCTCGATAAAAATCAAAATGATTTGTTTAACCCACCCACTCGGCACCGAAAGGGCTCAGAATAATGAGATTCAACGCAAACAAAATGTAAAGCAGCGAACACTCCCAGTTACGAGTATGAATTTCAAGAGCATGACCCAAAGTTGCAAACAGACATACACACACGCACACATATTTTTGTGTCGGAATTGAATGCGTTCGATTCAAAACACTTGATCCTTTCGAGAACAGAATATCCTTTGGTCATTTAGTTAATTCACATCAACATTTTCGTTTCGTCCTTCTCTTCATTATCGCCCGACATTCCTTCAATTCATTTAATTTAAGTCACATTTTACGATAATTTGGCTTTTGTGTTTAGTTAACGTCACGTTTTTTAGTTGTTATTTTAGATTTTTAAGAAATTTGGCGCTGATCATTTGCCAATTTCATTGTTCGCACAATTCCCGTAGACATTGGTTTTGGACTTTATTTCAACAAAATTGATGCTTATTGTTTCTTTTCTTTTCTTTATTAATTTTCCAGTTTGATTCTCCATTCGAATGATAATTGTGAGGAATAAATAGAGGAGTAAGTGTGCGCATAATTTAAAATGTGAAGCAATGCAAACACGCGCCAAAAAATGCTTGTCTTTCGATAGACAAAACGCGCGATCGACAACAACAACAACGACGACGACAACGACAACAACGTCAAAATTAACAAAATAAGTGACACACAACGAAGCCATCCAGCAAAATTTCGGTATACAATGTGCTGATTCAAGACTTGAACGTTGAAAAACTGTATGCAATTTGGCAAGATGAATTTTTCGCTTAAAGTTATGAAAAATCGAAAATAGTCCGCTTTTTCCATAGATTATGATGAACTTTAGTTTTCTCGGTTAAAGCGCATTTTGTTCGGTTTTTGTCGTTTTTCTTTGTTGTTCATTTTGAGTTTTTAGATACATTAAAAGTGAAAATGACAAACAAAAGTTTCGTTGTGTGAAAGGTGAATCATTTTTTTTGTAAATGACGGGAAATGATAATACATTTCAATCAAATGACAAAAGTAATCACTGAAAAATACCCGCAATTAAATACATTGAACGTGTAATCAAATAAGCAACGAGCAAAACATCGAATCGAACGAATCAAAAACAAAACAGAAAGAAATTTTTTTTTTTTCAACCTGTGCGAAAGCGACGACGGAGAAGAAGACGAATTTCTGTTCGACGAAATCGAAACTGCCCGTTGTTTTGTTTTATTTCCTTTTTTTTTTCTCTACGATTATAATAGTAAAATCGCGTGTGTGTGTACAATATGAATTCCTATGAATATGATACAACAATGGAGTGTCGTGACAATGGAGTGCTATGCGGTGTGGTTCGCAGCGGAGGCATCGGACGAGGTTAATATAATCACAAATTCTCTCTATAACTCTAGTTTAGTTACTATGTTTATTATCGCACGTTTAATTAGATTAGAATAAAAAAAAAATGTATAAATTGTATGCAATCAGATCAGTGTTTAGCGAGCCCACACCACCGACCAACCATAAAAAACAACACGAGTTTGACGATAAGATGGGGTTGTTTGGGCTGTCTATCTATTGAATGTGCCGTCATTCGGCTACTCAGCGCATTTTCAATTGGGCGTGCAATTGATGTCGGTGATTGTGTATGAGTGTGCTGAAGGCAATCGCACGTACATTTCACGCAATGTGTCATTCAGATCCAAGGGATCGATGTCAGTTAGCCGGTGATTTTGTGTGTGTGTGTGTGTTTTTTTTTTTTTTTTTTACACCGCATTTGGCCCAAATTGTCACTTGCACGCAATCATTGTGGCGCGTTCAGGTTGAGGCGCGTCCGGTGGAGATTGGCTGTGATTGTACACTCGTTTGCTTATATTGATAATATCAATTTATTATCGACATAAAATTGTGAACAAGACAGTACAAGTGCCGTGAATTTCGTTACTTGAATCAAGCTCACAATGCAAACCATCAAATCCGCATTTGGGTTAGATGGTGAATGGTTTTGTGCACTGCGGCCAACACAAGTCACATCGAGTAATTCGACAAATTTCCCGCTAAATTGCTATAAAAACGTCAATGATGATATTAATTTATCTTTAATCGTTATTTATTATACTTTTAATCTTTGTCTCACTCTCTGACTCCACACGCGAGCTTGTATGTGTGTACGCTGTACGGTCTCTTTACTTTGTCGTCTTCTGATAATTAGTTTTGGTGAATTGCGGTTGTACGGAAATTTATTTGAATTATCGTTTATTCGATTTAGAAAATGTTTTTCGGTCGTGTTCTTTTTTTTCTTCTTGCTTTCGTATTACGCGACTCAATCTTTTCCACATACATTCACTCCACTCAGAGATACACACAAGAGACGAAGAAATTGGCTCACATTTCTGTCATAGGTTAGTGATGCGTGTTATATATTCAGTGCGAAATTCGCATGAGAAGAAGTATTACTAAATATATTAAATTAAGGGGTTTCGCGACATGCGACATTTCATGTACACAATGTCACGAGCAATTCGCTTCATCAGCGAAGCGAGCAGAAGAAAAAAAAAAAAACAACGAAGAACAAGAAAGCGAAGCAGAAGACTTTGTTTGTGTGTGGGACATTGAGCGAAGCTCGTTCAAGTCGACGGGCGCACACAGCAAACATTTATACATAATGCAATTAAATCGAATTATATAGTCACATATAGACCATAGACCACACATACTCCAGTGGATAATAATGTGGCATATAATCATTCGTTCGACTCACCGAGACGACGACAACGACAACTGCAAGAAACAGAACAGAACAGAACAGAATGGAATAGAAACGAATTGGATTGGAACACAACTTTGAAGTCTGAAATTGAAGTGCGGAGAGAGAGAGAGAGAGAGAGAGAGAGAGAGAGAGAGAGAGAGAGAGAGATAGCGAGAGAAAACTGAGAAGACACGTGAATCACCTCAAAGCAACGAATCACCACCAAATAATATGTCACTGCTGCTTGTGCTTGTTGAAGACAGGATGTAAATGCTTGGATATCCCAAAGAATATATCATTTTTTCATTGAACGTCTGTGCGTCATGAAAAATCAAAACCAGGGGAAAGAACGGATTTCCATGCGTGCTTACTAAGTAACTGATTAAACGCACATAAATCGCAATACGGGAATTTCGATGCCCAGCCCTCGATGATATGTTCGTTTAGGTGTCTTTCACATTATTCATACACAAACACACTTCATGTGTGTACTACACAAGCGGTACACCGAACTTCTTTTCTCACCATGCATATTTAAACGATATGGTCTCTGTGTCTTGATGCGACTGCCCTCTGTTGCTTCAATGAATCTCTCTGTGTCTCTGGCTCTCTGCGTAATTTATGTATATTTAATTAGGAACCTTTTATGGATAGTTAAGTTAATCTAATTTCACATGTTATTGGCTTTTATATTTACTTCCATTAAATATCCAGTATCTTATGTTTCTGCACTGTTGTCGGTGTGTGCGTTTGCCATGTTTCTCTGTGTCTCCTGTAGCTCTTTATTGCGGCACTCTCACTCTGATGGGTTATGTGCTAGCTTTGCTATAAATATAGATTTATATGGGATATACGCTTTTCACATCCTTTTATCCAATATCGGCTTTTGTCTTTTGACGTCCACTTCGGCCTGGCCTGGCCACATAACGATGAGAAATGAGTAGCAGCGCAAAAGGAAAACAATTTTTGATTGAATTTTACATTAAATACTTTCGGTTAGCTAAGACATCTTCGTCAGTTACGCTTGTCCTTTTTCATCCACAACTAGCACGTGTGAATACAGGAAGCGGACAAAATAAAAAACAAAGCAGAAAAAAAAAGCAATTTTCGTGAATTAATAATTGCAGTATGTTGGTCAAGTGTTGCCTTGAGTGCGCATGCTTTTGTTTGTCTTGTTCCTTTCTCACACCCGGGATTAACGAGTAAAACTCAACATTTCTACTTGACTACGTTTTTGTATACCGACAATTTATCTTTTTTTTTCCTCGTGTAAAACAACTCGGCGAATAATTGTTGTCATCATATTCAGTTAGTCGATTGCCATGGCAATTTTTTTTTTTTTTTGATTTTTCAATGTGCGTCATAAACAATCCATACAATTTTGGCGAAACAAAAATGTACACGATGAAAAAAAAAAAATGGCAAATGAAATTCGAAACGGATAAGACCTTTCCTCTTTCTATCCATGTTATACCGTACCGAGAAGGTAACATTTCGATGGGCATCTTCGAACCAATTAGCAAAATACGGCTTCCGAATTTTGCCCCGGCCAGACGGTATCAGCCCAAACAATTGATCCCAAACAACTACATCGGATGATTGAAAATGGATTTTTGTGAGAATCGAATACACTCGCACAATGAACGCCCATATGCAACTTAATCCCTCCGATCGAACCAAAACAAATAGAACCGATAACATCGATTCATCTTCAACATACTCGAAGCACATCGATGGAAAATGAGAGTTGAAAGCGAAACAATTGAGAGAAGGAAGAGGAGAGAGAGAGAGAGAGAAAGAGTATCACATATATACGCGCATATAAAACCGTTTTTGCTCGGTATTTTTTTTCTCTCTTCATTCTAAATAATTAATGTCATGCCGCCGCCTCTCTATTCAACCATCGGCCATTTACGAAACTTAATCAATTCCAGCGCTTGATTTTTGTCGTATGGCAAAACGACGACGACGACGCTGATGAACGTAAGAGACAAATGTGTATTATTCTAATTTCCATGCCCCTCGTTTCGAGGTATGTAAAAGAGCTGTAAAATACCAAAAAAAAAAAAAACAAAATCCATAGCACACACAAAACCAACAGACACACGATTGAACGCTTTAAAAAGCAACGATATATTGAGGAAGCTACACGTATAACGAGAAGAGAGTGAACACACGAAAAACTCTTATTTGATATTCACACCAACGACCATATTTAAACGTAAATTTATTTGCCGTATTATTATTTTTCCAAAGAGTGTGAGAAGAGCGAGAGAGAGAAAAGTCGAAATAAAATTTCAATCGAAAATTTATGTTTGTGGCATTTTGTTGGAGTGCTCGATCTGTCTCTCGTTCATCGCGCGCGTATAGATGCTTGGTTTTTGTGTTTGGTTTTGTGCATTCAGTTTCAGTCGCTTTGCTCTCTCTCTCTCTCTCTCTCGCTCTCCGTCTCATCTTCCCTGATTATATCGATCGTTGCCGTCGTCGTCGTCATCGTCGTGTGTTGTTTTTTTCTCGTTCAACTTTTAATGTGCCGTTTGGATCAATTGCTGTGGCTTTGCTGTGCATGGAATTGGAGAAATTCGGTTAGATTTTATTTCAATGTTGATTTTAAAGCTTCGTACAAAACACCAAACAGCAAAACTGACGGATTTGGTTCGAAAGTGAACAAAACACATTACTTATGCCAGCTTAGTGCATCGCTCTCAAGACAATATTTCACCGAGACGGCAAAGACACATCGGAGTGTTCCGTGTGCGTGTGTTTGTTTGCGCTTGTGCGTGCGATAGAGCAAGAGACAGACAGAGAACGAGAGATCGATAACCCAAAATGAAATTATTTTCAATGACTGTTTTTGTAGTGTATGTGCTTGTGCACATTGCATTTGGATTTAAAATGATTCGCATTTTCATTTGTCGCCGAAAAATTTCGCCTGTCAAGAAATGAAGATAGACCGACCGGGCGAGCGAGCGAGTGCGAGCACAAAACAAATAAAGTCGATTTCGAATTCATTTAAACTTATTTTAAAGCTCGAACATTTTTGAATGCACATCGACCGAAGTTTTCATGTGTTTGTGTCTGTGCGTTCGATTCTTGAATTTTTGGGCGAATGAACAAGAAGAAAAATAACGACAGTTGAATCAAGGAAGAAGAAGAGCCGACTAAAAAAGAAAACGAAATATAAATGAAACGATATATAGGGGATACAGCGTGCGGTAGGTAGTGTGTTTGTGATTTTTTTCCCTTCTTTCTTGGGATCGGTTCATTTTTAAAACAAAAAAAAAAAAACAAAAAAGAAGAGACAACAACATAGCAAAATAAAACCTCGAGAATACACATGTATAGTCGAGGATACAATATGCGCGTGTGCGAGAGAGATTTGGATGTTATATCACTGGCTTGTTTCACGTATGAAAAAGACGAAAGATACACACACAATTTGGGTAGAGAGACACTTTATGATTCTCAATCGTGTTCTCGTTCGGGAAATGCACGCAATCTTTAACTGCAACCGAACAGAACAGAACAACGAAAGAGAAAAAAACAACAACAACCATGCGGACAAACAAACAAGTGATACGATGACAACAACGACGACGACGACGAATATATTCGGGGTGAGCTTAAG